TCATTCTTCCCTCCCCTCTCATTTCCCTCCTCATTTGAACATTCTTCTTGGATTACATAACACCTATGACACATTTTGGTTCTTGTTACACTTGAGATTTCTCACATCAGAGAAACAATGCTGTATTTCAATGTATGTTTCTGGTTCATATCACGTAACAGTGTGTCCTCCAGGTGCATCCATTCACCTAGAAGTATCTCAAGCTTTTCCTTCTTTATGTCAGAGTAGTACTCCATTGTATAATAATTCTTATATCATTCACCAGTTCATGGGCATCCGGGCTGTTTCTAAGCTTTCCTATTACAAACCGTGCCTCTCTAAATGGGCACACACTTATCACCATGCTCTGATGATTTTAATTCAGAAAAATACCAACAAGGGAGAAACCTGGGCTGAATGGAACCTGCAGTGCTAGTTTTCAGAGGAATCTCTGGCTGATTTCCACATGGGTGTACCGCTGAACACTGTTCAGTAAGTAGTATTTGTGTGCTGACGGCCGCTGCTTCCATGAGCCTCACGTCACTGACTCACTTCACGCCCCTGGAGCAGGTCCTGGGCCAGCACACAAACAAAGGATGGTCAAGGTGAGAGAGGAAACGCAGCGAGTGCTCAGGTCCACGGCCCTACGGCACACCTATGTGATATGCTTCAAACACAAACAACCAGGTTCTAATTCTCCACTTAAGTTCATAGAAAGAATTCTGGGTCCTGTGGATGAAGTGCAAAACAGGAATGCAATCTAAAACATGTGAATTTTAGAACTGCAGTCCTGTATGTGGTACCTATAGGGCAATCGCTGTGCACCAAAGGTAGAGTTACAAAGGTGTGGTGAGGGACATTGATGCTCTTCAAGCTCTGTCGAGTTCAACTGACTCATTCCTGCTGCACTCAAACTTTCGGAAAGGACTGCAAATTTTAATCATCTCTGTATAAGGGCCAGCCAGATAGCTCGGCTGACTAAAGCGCCTGCTTAGGCAGAGCGCAGTGGCCAGGATTTGATCCCCAAAGTGCCCAGGACATGCTGAGATGGTTATTGAGATGGCGTGGTGGTGCCCACCTGTAATCCCAGCGCTTGGGAAGATGAAAACAGGAGAATCACTGTGAGTCTGATTTACATAGTGAGACCCCATAGACCCCTGTACTAAAATTTAAAAAAATCATGTGTGATTAAAATCACTTAATCATTGTGATTTAATCATTGTGGTTGAAGGTTTCTAACAGGTGCCAGGAAGAAGGAGAGAAGACACTAAAAGATTTTGTTTCGCACAATAGATTACTTCAAAGAGACAGAAATAAAACCACATACACAGCTTGATGGGTAGAAAAATCTACAAAGATCTGAGATGTGGGACTTGGTCCACTGTTTCAAAAATTACCATAGCATAAATTAGTACACAGTCCATTTCTCCAGAAACATCTCAGTTTTTATTAGCAGTCAGATTTTGTTCTCTTCAATATTCCATATGCTCAGCATCTTCCCTCTGTTATTATATTTTCTTAATTTTCCTTCATTTTTTTTTAAAATGAAGTCTTCATGATTTCTTCTCTGCCAGGGAACTTTGCCTAAGTTTAACAAACCGTGTAATTTAAGCTGATTCATCTCCTACAAACACAGCCCACTTTCTGCGTTTAACCTAGAACTGTGGAAACTTCCCTGGCCCTCTTTAGTACCAGATTCATCATTCCAAATCCAGTACACATCCTGTGAAAATTTATGCATCACTTGCATTCTGGAGTTCCAATGAGTATTACTGTATCTACAAAGCTTATTAGAAGTTTAAGTAAAAACAGACCTTCTTTAGATTGATCTGCCAACTCACTTGATACCATGGTGTGATCCTTAAAAACATCATTCTTAATGAAATTTTCATGAGGCTATTGTCATTGTGAAAGAAGGCCTTGCCTCTGTCTAAATACTGATTGAGAACCTCAGAAAAGCAGAGTGAGAAAGGATTTTGAGTCCTACACCAGTATCAAATACTGAAACTATGTGAAAGTATAGATTCTTGATTCAATAGTTTGCTATATGAGAATTTCTCATGAAATAATTCAAATGAAAAAGTACTAACTTAAATATATTCATTTCAGCATTATGCACGAACAGCGTGAAGCCCTAGGAGCAACGCTCCTATCCAAAAATACAGAAACAGCTACATAAATTATGTCAAAGAAGTTCAAGGGGCCATTAGGAAGCCACAGAATTTACACTAAATAAAAAGGGGAAAAGTAAAACATAAAAAAATTATTTTCTGAGGTCAGTAAAAGCTTTAAGTTTAAATTTCCATCATTCTATTTAATGAAATTTAAACTTTAAGTTTATTTTTAAACTTAAAACTTAAAGCTACCCAGAAAATTATTTTCAGAATCGGCAGGACTAAACTAAGTTTGCATAGTTCCCAGATTACATGAGTTTCAAGATTTGAGTTTTACTTTGGATAGCTGTAATCCCCTTCCCAGAAGCTATAAATCGATGTAATAACCAGGAGGAAAGTTGTGGTAGAGGACTTATGATTACAAACCACGAAGTGAAGGAAGACTCAGAAAAAAGTCCCTCATGGAGTAGAACAAGTGTTCTTCAAGCCCAAGGAATTGTCTCTTCTATTCTTTTAATGAGGAGAAATTGGGAGTCAATATCAGAAGCCAATATCCATTCCATGTGTGTTATGCTACTTTGCAACTGTGTGACACTTTTTTTATAAATCAAATACATAAATGGAGAGGAAGATGGCCAATCAGCACTAACCATGAAGTAGATCTAGAGGCGCAACCTTTTAGAAGAAAAAAACACAATGATGTCACTGCCCTTAAGAAGGAGATGCTGGTGCTCTGTCCCGGCACCTCCAAGGTATCAGCACCATAGCATTTGTGGTGTACAAATTATATCTCCTATCCTTTCTTTAAAAACCTTATGTTTAAACTATGAAAAACTTCTGAAAACACAATGTAAAAACTCCTCCACCGGCAATTTTCCAAAATGAAATGGTACGTGTTCCAGGTATGATTCACTGTCTGTATTTTGCAATTAACAGCCTGGACGGCTTGAGATGTTTCTGGTTTCACTAAGCAATCTGCAAATGGCAAGAATGTTTTCCTAAAATGCAACTGTCAAATTATTCCTCTAACAATATACATTATTTGGAGATGACAATGGTGAAATGCCAAGGTACTCTAACAGATAACCACTGGAAAATTTGTATTCAGAGCTTTTAAGTCACGTGAAATGTCATCTGGGAGCCCACAGTTAAGCAGAAGGGCTGATGCAGTGGAAAGTGAGGAAGACAGGGAAGCGGCAATCAGGAACAACCTTGGGCCTTTTCCTGATATTGGTCTATTAACACTGGCAGCAGGGTCTCGAGCATTTGCACAACAACAACAGCACCTGAGAATCAAAGATAGCTCATCGGTGCATGTTTGGAATTTTACCTGTTGGAACACAGGGAAAGAAAATCTGCATTTCAAAAAAGTAGAAAAAAATAATCTAAAATTATGTTATCACACATCAAATTGTCTAACTGTGCAAGGAACTTTCCAAATTTCTCCTCAAAGGCAAAAGAAAACTCTGTTAAGTTGTTCTGTTTTCTGGGGTTTCGATACCTTAATCTGAAATCTTTCTGTCCAGTACGGTAACTGCTGCCTACAACTGGCTGCTGAGCTGGTGCAGAAATCCTCTTACACTATGTGCAAAGCACATGCTGGATTCAAAGACTTACTTAGTTGGGAGAAAAATTAAAATACTAATTTTTTTCAGGTTGAAACAGATGATAATACTTTGGATATGCTAGATTAAATTAAAACATTATTGGGCTGGGGAGATGGCTCAGTAGAATAAATGCTTCCCTTGCAAGCGCAAGGGCCTGAGTTCAGAACCTGGTTCTGCCAAAAACATTATTAATGTTAATTTTATCTGCTTCTTTATCATTTTCATAACCTGGCTAACAGAAGATTTAAGATTAAATAGTTAGGCCTGATGAGATAACTCAGCAGACTAAGCACCTGCTTAGGCAAGTGCAGGGATGGGAGTTCAAACTCTGGCACTACATGCCACACTGGACCCGCCCCCCAGCACACTGAGCCAGCCACTGAGACCAGATGTGGTGGCATAGGCCTGGAATCCTAGCACTGGGGAGGCTGAAAGCAGGAGGATCACTAGGAGTCTGAACTGTGTAGTGAGACCCTGTACCAAATACATAAAAAAGATTAATAAATAAATGTGTCACTCATATTAGTGATACTTATATTTCTATAATGGTATCTAAATGAATCAGATTTTTTTTGATTAGTAGAATCTCTTTTCGCCTTAGAGTCTGACCCTAGGAAACTTACAAACTAAGAAGCTCATCCTTTTTAAAGAGTCATCAGAGAGAAACTTAGCTCTTGTTATTATTTCATCCTTTCTCACCTTTTCACTGAGGCATCTCACTGCCCATCACTGTTTCCCTCCCGGTTAAGAAGAATGAATGCATCAACTTGGCAACAGACTGCAAGTGGGCATTCACAGGGACATTCTAGACAGAGCACATATTTTCCATCTGGCCATATTTCTTTTCATTTCACACAATAGTTATAGCCACACTAATGTCTTTTTTGATGATCTGTAATAAACAATGATCTCTTTTCACTGTAGTATCCATACAAAATGAGTTGTGATATTAAACATCTTCCAAAGTCTCACAATTCAATAATGCCCACGTATGCTAGTACCTATGTGTCAGCTGGGAAACATTTGAAAACTAGTGAGTTCCAGGCTTAATATCTGAAGATTCTGACTCTGTAAGTCTTGATGACATCCAAGGTGCTGTCTGTACTCTAAAAAGCTTCCCAGATCAATGAGGCCTAGACACAGGGAACCACAGGCATAACTGAGTTTTCTGTAACTGGTAAGATGAACTGTCCACGTGGAAAGGCCCAAGGCCTGAGGACCTGGAAGCCAAGCTGCAGGGCTCCTACTCTAGTTTCCTGCCATTACACAAGGGCAATCTTCAAACACACACATTACTCACCCTTCAAGATCCCCAGCCATCAGAATATCTTCCTTGTCAGTTTTAACATCCAACTCTGGTTCTCCATTAAGCAGAAGTTTCAAGTTATAAATAACCAACAAAGTACCTGACAGAAAAGTAGATACTGGATATGTCAGTATCTTAAACACACGAAATGCTACACATTGGGCTAACACCTCATCTATGGTACTGAGTTTGTTATCGATAAAATGTTCTTTTGCACCTCAGTAAATAATATGTTTGGATATGTTCCAAAATACATATCTTCCAGCAGACGCTGTTGTCTGCCAAAGAGTTTTTATAACATAGTGTTTTTTATTACTATTCAACTCATTATAAGCCTTTCAAATTCTGGCATTTTTTTTCATAATTTGCATCATGAAAATTGTTCGGGGCCTGAGCCAGGTTTGTATTATAGGCAAAGCTCTCATCAGTAGAACTGAAATCGATGCATAAAGAAGAAAGATGACATTTGAAAACTGTAAAAATATAAAGTATTGCTTCTAGACTTCATGGCTGGTACTGGCAAACTTTCTCTGCAAAAGGCCGGATAGTAAATATTTCAGACTTTGCAGGCTATACGGTGTCTATCATAATTACACGCAATTCAACTCTGCCTGTTTAACATATAAGCAGCCATAGAGAGTATATAAATAAATGAATGTCACTGTGTTCCAATTAAACTTTTTTAATGAAAACAAGAATGACCTGTGGCCTGATTTGATGGCCCCTGCTCCAAAGAACAGTTGATAAAAGACTTCAAATTATTTATAAAGCTCATTGATAGGAATAAAAAATAGGACAGCCTAAAAACTTTTAAAAAACAATTTATACTTTTGGTGGGAAAACAGCACAGTGGCTAAGAACATAAGCTTTGGAGTTCAAATGCCTGTGTCTAAATTATGTATAATTACTCATTAATATAGTGATCTCACTTAAATTTTCTAATCCCTCTAAAGCTATTTTTCTAAACTATGCAACAGAATTTAAGGAAGGCTTGCCACATATAAATTTTTTTGAGAATTAAATTGACTTCAGTTTTAGAAAGTATTTGGAAAAGTAATCAGGGAATAAGAAACTATTCACTAATGTCTATATATTTTATAATTAAAGTCAACTAAAAGGTGACATTAAATTGCTTTAAAATATATTGTCAAAAAGTATATTGTCAATAAAATGCCATTATTGTTCCTGTATGACAAAGAACAAATGGTGACTTCAAACATTGTTTTTTGGAACACGCCCACCAGAGAAGAAATGTTGGAGGTAAAGCAAGTCAAGCCTAAAACAAATTCCTTAAAGTTTTACAACAAGCTTAACATAAGTCCAAGTCACAGGAAGCAGAGTGTGCCCAGCTTTCTCAAAAGCATATTTCTTGTGCCTCTGGATATGAAAATGGTAGCAGTCTGGACAAAATCGAGACTGGTAAAAGTCAGGGGACACAGTGCATTGTACGTGTCGTGGCAAAAATAGGCAGAAACAAAGAAAGGGGAAGATCTATCAACCTGAGAGGAAAATGTTGACAAAGATTCTGTTAACGCTGCCTCAGAAACAGAGCTATTAGTGTAGAAGTTGCTAACTTTGCCATTAGTTGGTATCACACAATCTCGGATGCTGCAATAGGCATCTCTTAACCCCGCGACATGGTGCAGGGAGTGGAGAAGTCACTGCAGTCAGAGCACCTGCCTTCCTCTTTTCATTTGGTGTCACCAAACTCTTGTAAGCACAAACCTTTCCAGTAACTCATGCTTAGATTCTCTTAAAACTCACATTGACAAAATGAATGACTGCCTCCATGTGAGATTATCAATAAAAAATATGAAAATATACTGTGTCCTTCAGAAAACACTAATACAAGTGCTCCTATCAAAATTTTAGAATTTTTATGGTCTTACCACATTTTCCATAGATCACGTCAAACTGCTGCATCAGTTCCGCTTCATTTTGAAATGGAGAGAATTTATAAATTACGGACAGCTCTGTTGAGAACTTTTGGGGATCATCTGTGAGAGACTCTCTGGTTTTTGTTAACCACGAAGGCATTGGAACTACAACCTATGTTTAAAAAAGTGAATTTGCTATGAAACACATAAGTGCCATTATCTTTTTGTCCTATCTTATGAACTCTGTTTTAAAATTTAAGTGAAAAATACAGTGGATTAATTCTACTTTTCATTTACATTTCAAAATGCAACATTAAAGATTTATTTTCTCCCATAATATATTCTAATTTTATAAAGAAAAGACAGGCAACCAGCATGTATACGCAGGGTTTCATTTTAAAGTACTCCGTTGTGGAATGTGGGGACAGATGGAGTCTGTCTCTGATCCCCCCTTGGAAGATGGGGGAATGGCAGAGAAAACAACCCTATCAGCACTTTAGAAGTTGACAAGTAGATGACAGCATACCAAGAAGCACAACCCAAGGCCCCCAGCCAGAAAAGAAGGAGCCAGCCTGATTTAAAATTCAGATTGAAAGCACAGAGCTAGAAGCAGCCTCAGACCCCCATCAGGCAGCAGCTCCTTGCCCTCTCCAAATCCTTGGACTTGCTCTCTGGGAGGAGCGGCGCAGTGGGTTTCTGGAGCAACAGACATACAGGCCTGTCATCAGTGGGACTTTACTGAGACGAGAGGGATGGAGGGAGAGTGGATGTGGTGGAGGCTGAGAACTTCCATGTCTTTTCTCATCTGCTTCCCAAAAAGGCTGGCAGCTTGGTATTCTGGCAGAAGACTGCAGGAAACCTGACCAGTCCAGAAGGAAAAGCCTAAAGAAAAGAGCACTAAGAGCCATCCCACACAATCCCAGTCAGCTTGTTGGACTACCTAATTGGTGCAATAAGAGCTGCCAATCCCACACTCTTGGGACATTCAATCGACATTTTATTGGACTAATATAAGTGCTCTGGACTAACAGTCATCTAAAAAAAAATCTGATATAATAAACAGAAACCACATAAACAAAAATAAATAAAACAATTCAGTGGAAATAGAAATCATACAAGGAAGATGAAAATGTCAAAGAAAAATAAAAAGTCACTGTTAACACCCTGAAGCTGATATGACAGAATACTGTATGTATGAAGCAAAACGATATATCTTGAAAAAGTATCACTGAGAGAATAAAAATATCCTTCTTGGAAATTAAAAATAGGAATATAGGAAAAGAAGTTCATGGAAGAATTGCAGGATAAATGTTGGAAAATCTTCCAGAAAACAAAACAGAAGGACAAAGAACAGAAAATAAAAGGAAAAAAAAGAAGAAAATAACATTTTTCAGAAGTCCAAGAACTAAAACTCAGAAGTTGCAAGAGAAAAAAAAAAAAAAGAATATAGATACAAGCAAATTGTCCAGGTTACATAATTCCACATGGGAGTTACAGAATGAGTTTCCATATATCTCAGCACTGCCACATGCTCAATGTACACCTATAAATAGACTGAATAGGTAACATGCTGAAATCACAGTACTAGAAAGAAAGGAGGCTCTTTTGACCTTCAAAAAGTAGAGAGAGAGGGGCTGGTGAGATGGCTCAGTGGTCTAAAGCACCTACTTAGAACAAGCTTAGCAAAATACAGGGACCGCGGTTCAATCCCCCAGCACCACATGCCAGCCAGCCCCGCCCCCTGGTGGGCTGAGCTAGCCACACACACACACATAAATAAATAAATAAAATTTTTTTAAAAAGCAGAAAGAGGAAAGACAAGAATGGACCACATGCAAAACAAGGGAATAAAATTCAAAGAAATTTAGATTTCTTAATAACAACACTACAAACTAGATCATGGAGCAACATCTTCAAAATTTTGAAGGAAAAATGCGTTCTACCGTAGAAACAACACCAAGCCAATTTGAGATGAGACAAGAACACTGTAATGAATGTGGGGCCTCATAATAGTGTGCTGCCTGCACTCTTGTTCAAGCAGTAGCTACATGCCATGCCAGCCCCGATCCTGGGTGTGCTGAGAAGGCAATTGAGACTGGGCATGGTGGCACACACTGGTAATCCCAGCACTTGCGAGGCTGAAGGCAGGAGAATCACTATGAGTCCGATCTGTGTAGTGAGACCCTGTAGATCCTGTAGGCCCTACCCTAAATACAAAAGAAAATAAAAAGAAGCAGCAGTAGCTACAGAACACGTCAAGAGATGGGAGCAAGCTGTGAAAGAAGAGCACTGGGATCTGAGATCTGACAGACAATGACAGCAGGGCCAGATGCAGAATGACCCCTAAGTGCCAGCCTCAGAAAGCAGGGGCGCAAGCTGCAGCACAAGAGGCTCTGGAGCAGAGTTATCAGGAAAATGATGTTCATGGGAAGAACAGTTGGAAACTGAGATGATCTGAGTCACTAAATACAGAAAACCAGGAAAACATTCAGTAGTAGTGGAAAGGACAGCTGGGCAGTCTGTTATGAATTCTAGAAGAAATAAAAAGCCACAAATAAACTAAAGTCACTTAAGATGTAACACAGTGTGAACTGTTTTCACAGTGTATCTACTGAACACTGACCTAAGCAAAATTATGAGAGCACTGTCTTGGGAGTAAAGGGGGCCAGAAGGCTGTGCATGTATGAGAAGTGAAGAAAAAGAAAATAAATAGGCATTTTGGCCTTCATGGCTCTCTAACCTCCCAGCTCTATCACTGCTTTTAACCATTTGGTAATAACAGCTCCACACACTCACTGAAGAGTACTCTTTTCCAACAGCATATCTCTGTCATCTATTTAATTCATATGATTCTGCTTTGGTTTGTGACAAGGCTGAAAACTTCGTGACAGCCAGATGGGCTTCAGTGGGTCCCTGAAGGATAAAGGAAGTGACACTGGCCCAAATCTTACCTCACTCAGACCTTCTTCTTCACAGAACGTCTGAGAGAAAAGCACACAGGTCATTGTCTCTTCCTTCTTTGTAAAAAGGATGAAGTCTTTTCCAATTCTCATGGACCCACTATATGGAAGACAAAGAATATAATGATTTATACCCCAGATAGCAAAAGTAAGAAAAATAAGGAGGCATGGCTAGGTGTCCTGTAATGGGCAACTCTTTTCAACAACCTGCCTTACTGACCTACCACCAAGGGGCACAATCATGATCTTACTTCTCAAAGTAGCACTGAAGAAATGGAGTGGATCCAGCCTCACTCTTGCTCCAGACAGTGCTACTGAGATCAGGTTCCATCCCAGGTTAAGAAGAACAATCACTGCACCTTGTGGGACCACAGGTGGGCCTCAGGCCTCCCTTCTTATTGAGACAAGCTAGACAAAGCTGTAGTTACAACATTTAGGCTACAGGATGGTTTGAAAAACAAAAGAATGTACAGATGCAATAAAGTTTGAAAAATACACTTCAGAAATTTCTGTGAGAAAATTCACCTGGACTGTATATGAGAATTACTTTTTAAAATGTTTCATGAATCAAGTCAGTTATGGGTGTGGAGATTCTAGAACAACATAGAACCTCTCCACAAGTTTACACTGTTTTTAAGTCTTATAGTTTGGCTCATTCTGTGTAACATTGCCTTTAATACTGTTTCCAGTGTCAATAATGCATGCATTAAGGGGGGAAAATACCTACCTTTTAAGACCGTTGCCATACTGCCCAATGAACTTCAAGGTGGGTGAGTGTTTCTTGTGTATTCCAAAGTTAATTATGTATGAAGCTTCCTCTGTAATTGACAATGACATTCAAAGTGGTTAGGAAGAGTATTTGAGTTTATGACATATCTCAGGGCATTTGGACAAGCCCAGCCCAGAGTCAAGGGTTCATATCAGGATGCACAATTTCTGGCAAGGATCTCAATGGTGTGACATTGATGGAGTTGGGACAGACTTAATCAAGTGACTATGGGTAGAGTTTAAAATTCTGAGCCTTAATTTTCTTGTCTGAAAGGAAAATGCTAACACATCACAAAGCTGTTGATGAAGATAAATAGATATGAATTAAATGAAATTATATATTTGTGAGGCTCTGGAAAAAATATTTGGCACTTAATAAGTATGAAGAAATTATAAGGGTCATAATGATTTTTTAATCCTTTATTTATTTATTTTGTGCAGGGTGTCACTATGCAGCTCAGACTCATAGTGATCCTCCTATCTCAGCCTCCTCAGCATTGGGATTACAGGTGTGCAACACCACACCCAGTTTTGGTGGCCAACTTGGCAAGGGGCCAGATTATCCTTGGTTCTGGAGTATATTCTTTTTTCTTTTCTCCATAATTTTATTGAGAAACAAATAGCAATGAGGCAGTTTCAAATCAAATTGGTAGGACAGTTTCAATAATTAACACATTGTAAATTCTCTTCTTAGTGGTTACTTGCTGTACAAGATGCAGACATGATATCCTATTTACAAACACTATTAGAACAAATCCCTCTATTCGTTAAGAGAATGTAACTGTATATCTATCCTAACCATTTTGAATACACAGATACAAAATGGACATTCATCTATATCCCCTTTTTTTGTTTAGTTCCATTATTTGACTATTATAGGTGTGTTAACTCAGCAAAATATTCTAAGAGTCCAGTAGCCCATAATAGTATTGGGTCTTCCACTTCACTGGCAATGTCAGAAATTGTTGACCTGAGTCCCCTACAGCTCAACATAACAGCATGGTTTTACTTCTTATACGTCATTTTTATACTTTTCTGCTGGATGGTTAAGACCAAGATAAAGCAAGACCTATGCAACAAGAATTGTAGCTTTTGGGTCTGATAAGGTCAGTGAAATCCTCTCAGGATTTATGCTGAGACCCTGTACCTCAGATTGTAGAACCTTTGTCAGTGTCAGCCATGTGAATGAGTCACGGCCATTGCTTGGCCAATGTGCTCTCTGTGAAAGCCTGAGGGAATGTTTTCTCTCCATGTGACTCTCCTTAGGCACACTCTACATCACTGATCACTTTCCTCTTTGGCCCCATAATCTCCTTGATCAGAAAATTTGGGACACTTCTGAGTTACATGACATTACAGTACAAGTTCTCATATGTCCACATATGAGATCAGTATATTTTGAAATCCAGAGGATGCCTGCCTAGAGTTTTGAAACATCCTGGAAAGATCATGACAATGATTCTGAAAGCCTGAACAAATTAGTCATTTTCCCCTGGTAATATCAGAGCAGTAACTCTTCTGTCCTTCTTAATTTTATGTGTCCCTGAGTAAGGGTTTAAACTAGTGGTACAAATCTTTATGACCTGGGCTGGGAGATAGCTTGCTAGTCTAAGTGCCTGTCTGGCAATTGCAAGGATCCAGGTTTAATCCCCTGGTACCACACACCATTCTGGCAAAGCAAGTGGCAGCAGCTCTAGCAGCTAGCCAGCCTCTCTCCTCTCCTTACACTGTAATGCAGAGTATCTGCCCCAGGGCACTCACATCCATCATCTCAGCACTGGATCAAGAATCAATCACTATAGGGCTGGGGAGATGGCTCAGTAGAATATGCACTTGCCTGGCAAGCACAAGGGCCTGAGTTCAATCCCTGGTTCCACCAAAAAGAAAAAAAAAAAAAATCACAAACTCCAGAAGCCAATCTATAACTACAAGAGGCTTTGAGGGAATAACTAGACACAAACTGTAATAGGAAGTTACTATCAACATCATCTCTAGGTCAAAATGAATCTCAGTCTAGGCAGCAGATAAACTCTATTTTCAGTCCTCTAAAAGAAACATCTTTTTTTAATTCTACTTGATTTCTATTGTTAATTTAGTTCATTTGTATTAGCACCTGCCTAGCAAGTGTAAGGTCCTGAGTTTGGTCCTCGGTATAAAAAAAAAAGGAAAAATAAAATATCAGAAGTTGAAAATGAATGTAAAAACTGTCAAACTGCCCAACAGTGTGATCTAGAGTGTGGCCTAATCCTCAACATCACAGGGCTGCCAAAGCAGCCTACTGAGGCTGGGCATGGCAGAAGGGTATCCTGGTAGTCAGAAGGGCAGTTTGGCAGTTTGGCAGTTACTACATTCATTTTCAACTTCTGATATTTTATTTTTCCTTTTTTTTTATATTGGGGACCAAACTCAGGACCTTAGCTCTGGTGAGCCCACCTCATTCCCTACCCACTGTTGCAGGAGCCTTGCTGACCCACATGCTGTCCTCCTTTCATCGCTGCTGAGCCCAGGTGAACACGGAGCTGGAGCTGCTGCCACTCCCTGTGCCAGAATGGTGTGTAGTACCAGAGGATCTTGGTTATTGAAAGGTCAAGATCAAAATGAAAAGCTCCTGCTGGATGCAAACTACATTGGTGCCATGGCAAAATCAAAGAAATTTAACTTGACTATGCTAAGTCAGGAGCCTTATGTTATCAACTAAGGTATGAGTTGTTTCTGAAGGCTTGAATATTTGTGGATTTTCTTTTCATTCTGTTTTTCCATAACCAATACAAAGATCTACAGGGGCCAGTGAGATAGCTCAGCAGCCTAAGCACCTACTTAGGCAAGTGAAGGGACTGGGGTTCAATCCCCAGTATGATCTACCATGCCAGCCCTACCCTGTATGCCACACCAGCTCCACCCCTGGGCACAATGAACCAGGGACCAAGTCTGGGTGTGGTGGCACATGCCTGTTATCCCAGCACTGGGGAGGCAGAAAGCAGGAAGATCACTATGAGTCCCATCTGCATGGTGAGACCCTGTACCAAATACATAAAATTAAAAAAATAATAAAAAAAGACTTACTTCTTTATTTTCTAGTTAATATTTTTATTTATAAATGTTTGCAGTACATAAAGACTATACATTTGTTTTTTAAAGGAATTCCTTTAGATGATATCATGCATAGTCTGCCATTTAATTTAAGAATTCAGGGTAGCAACCTATCTCACCTCCACAGAAGGCAGGCGGACATCAGACAGTTATGGGGACCTGATGAGTCATGCTGCATCTCGCTACCATCTCAGGACTTCTGTTGAGCTTTAGCCTGCCCCACACAAACACACACACAAGTCACAGGAGACTTGGTGAGCCCTATCCTGTATGCCTGCCATCACGAGAACCTTGAGGAACTTTGCCCAGGCCACAACATCCTCAGAGCCTTCTGAGCTGTGGCTCATCACTCCCCTTCACCATGGGAGAAGCCACGCTGAACCCCACAAAGTGGGAGCTCTGGTGAGCCCACCTCACTCCCCACCCACTGTTTCAGGAGCCTTGCTGACTCGCATGCTGTCCTTCCATCACTGCTGAGCCCAGGTGAACACTAGGAGCTTCAAACATGTCAAGACAAAGGAGCAAAAGACAAGCTCAGATGTCCAGCCCAGCCAGAACAAGTCGAGGAGACAAGAACATAGAAGAACTTGGAAGTCACACACCTTAAATTTCTGAAATGATAGTAACTGGAAGTAAAGAAACAATGGCATCAAGCTATAGATGGGCCCTTTCCCCTGCCTTCCTGTACTGAGGACCTTGCACTTGCCAATCAGATACTTATTTCACTGAGCTATCTCCCCAGCCCTGAATCAGGCTATAGAATAAAGCAGATCAGAAATAGTCTCTCAGGAAAAAAAAAAAAGAAATAACAAAAACCATGAATGAATTGTTCATCACATCTAAAGAAGGAATACTAGCATAGCTGGCTTGCTTAAGAAAATGCAAAAGAAATGAAATTATCCCATGCATATCATCTGACCATAGCACAATGAAACAGGAAGTTATTGATGCAAGAAACATCAAAAACTCCATAAACACATGGAATTTAAATAAAACCTCCATGAACAATCAATGGTTCACATATGAAATTAAAGAAACAAACAGTATTTACAAACAAACATGAAGATGTAACTTAACCAGAACCTACACAATGATATCAAAGCTGTCATTAAGAGGGAAATGTTTAGTGGTAAATTCTTACATCAAGAAAACATAATGAGCCCAAATAAACCATCTCAAGCTTTTAGAGAAAGAAAAGCAAGTGAAGCCTAACATCCAAAGGAGATAGAAATTATAAAGATCAGAGCAAAAATTAATTGAATGGAGAAAAAGAAAACACAAAGAATGAATCAAAAAGTTGGTTCTTTGAAAGATTAAATAAAACTGATAAAGCCCTAGCCAACCTTTTCCAAAATAAGGAGAGAAAAATTTCATATTCGTGCAATAAGGAATGAAAAAGGGAAAAATCAATAGATCTTACAAAAATTCAGATCATCAATATCTGCTTTCACAATTTTTACTTTCCCAGGATGCAAAACACAGAAGAAATGGACAGATTATTAGATACATATAAATTCATAAAACTGAACCAAGAAGGCATAAAAATCTGAATAACCCAATATGAGTGAAGAAATTAAAATATAATCAAAAACCTACCAACAAAGAAAAGCCCAGGTTCTAATGGATGCACAGCTGAATTCTACAAGAAATTTAGAGAGGACCTAATGCCAACTTTTCTCAAACTCTTTAATGAAATTGAAAGGAGAACAATTCTCCAAACTTCATTCCTGGAGGCAAAGATTACTCTGTTACCAAAACCAGAAAAAGACCCAAACGAAAAAGAGAACTATTGGCCTATCTCTTTAATGAACATAGATGCAAAAACCCTCAATAAAATTCTAGCAAACAGAATGCAGCACATCATCAAGAAAATTATACTTCACAACCAAGTGGGATTCATCCCAGGAATGCAGAAATGGCTCAATATATGCAAATCAATGAACAAAGCACACCACATCAA